CATTTAGATCGCGAGAGGGATGGAATATTTGGAGGGCCGCGGGAAAATTCATCGCGATTTGGCGGCACGGAATATTTTGATCGATGGTGATCGATTTGTTGTCAAGGTTGGGATGGAACGAATTTTCGGTTTTTGCTTTGCTCCTTCGAATTACCTGCCCTCTCTTTACCTATTCTCGATTTTTTCCAGATAGCCGACTTTGGCCTGGCCCGAGATCTGGGTGGGGAATATTATCAAGAATTAGATTCGGACTTGCCGATACTTCACAGCCCACCCGAGGTTTTTCTTAATGCATTTTCTTTTGCTTTATCTGATTTTACGCATAAATGGACGCGAAAATTTCAGGTGTTGGAAGATAGGAAATGGACAGCCAAGTCAGATGCGTGGTCATTCGCCGTCGTCATTTTCGAGGTGTACACCCGAGGGCAGCGGCCATATGGTGATCAAGTGGACAAAGGTAATTTTAGCCATTTTTAATTCAAACAAGCGTCTAGCTGTCCAAAAGTCGCCGCGCAGATTATTGCATTGGTTGCGGGACGAGAATAGATTGAAGAAAGCGGAAAAGTGTCCGGATGCTGTTTATCAACAGGTATCACATGCTGTCCTGTAGATCAATTCAATTCAATTCAGGTCACGATGCCGTGTTTCCAGTTCGAATGGCGCAGGCGTCCGGATTTTACTACTATCCTCGAAGCCCTAGAGGTATATTTTAGTCGGCATTCCGTCGCGCTGTAAGGCTTAATATAACTGGATTTTTATTTAAACGTATTTTTCCTTTCTTTTTTGGTTACGTCGATCGCAAGAAAACATTAGCAAAAATGGTTTTTTTTAGCGTATCCGTGAAGTGAATGGCTATACATACGATCCGGTTGAAGGCGCATCGCTGGACGAGGTGGATATGGACTTATCCCCGCGGACCCCAAATCAGCAATCACTGCCAATCGTAAGCAATTTATTGGTGTGTCGAAGTTTGATTTTATTGTTTTAGGGAAAACTGTCATTTTCAGTTTAATTGCCAACACTTTAGAACGAGCTATTCAACTACCACGGCACGTCTTCATCTCTCAGCGGTTTCTATCGACCTTCATCACCCAATTGATTTTTGGAAAACCCGGAAATTGGCCTAGAGTCACCATGATATTAAGAATTATAGTGAAAACAACATTTCAAATAAATCTACAAAAAATTGCTGCCAGTTTTAGTGCCTGAAATCTTCATTTCAAGCCTAAAAACGTTTTTGCTTGAAATGCTCGTGTATCCCTCTGATTTTTAATGCAAGGCTAGCTGTGATACGCAAATAATACACGAATCTCATTATGACCTAGTTTTCTCGGCATTTTTTTCGATAAACCATTGACAAAAGGCGTTCAGTTCCCTAGTTTCAATTTCCACTTTTGGAATTTCGTACGCCATTTTTTTGAACATAATATAATAAAATTTTGACCGGCCCAAATCGTTAAATTGCATGACAGATAAGCAAATTACACGGCAAGATAGAGGTGTTTGTTTTGAAAATGTATATCAAAAAAGGTGAATGTCGGAAAACGCACTACGGGAAATTGGAGATGTTCCTCAATTCTTTATGCACATTTGAACTCTTGAGGAGAGAGATAGAGAGAAAGAGAGAGAGAGAGGAGAGAGAGAGAGAGAGAGAGAGAGAGAGCCAACGAGGTCCCATTGTGGCCCTAGTATAGAAAGGACCTAGTGAAGGGCCCTCGAACGAGAATGCTCGCTTGATTACCCCGAAATATACAGCCACCAGCATTATTTTTCGCTAACAAACAATTATTAATTCTTTCTGGATTCTAAATAATCTATGCTAGCTTGCCTGGCTTTTGACTACGGCCAGTCAGACGTTTGCTAAAGGATATTTGCTCGCTTTACATTGGCAGATGGGAATTTATGCTATTTGGGATCCAATGACCTCTGCTAGCTTGCCCTGACCCCTAAAAGCCTCATAAATCTCATTTTCCTCAAGTTTTCCTGCCAGTTTGCCCTTCTGGCTACAAAATAAAGTTTCTAAAACCTTTCCAAGCCTTCAAAACCCCATATATGAAAATCGGGTCGCTTCATAGAGGATTATCCGGGTGTGTCAGACAACTTCTCAGATAGCGAAGGAGAGAGAGTGAGAGAGAGAGGGGGGAAACGAGTATTTGAGTATAGAAAAAGAAGATGACTGTCTCTTAACCCTACCCATCACCCTCCGTTGATCCAAAATGCAATCGAAAGAAGAGAGGTCCCCCGAGATGTTGACCCGGGTTTTTCACACCTTGGCCCTGCCCTCCCCTCTATCTCCTTTTTGGGTCTCAACATCCCTGATCGGACTCTTTGAACCTACAATCTGACTGCCAGTCCACATTTTCACACCTCAATTTGTAAGGATTATCGATCGGTTCGATTGAGGTGGCTTGGTTTGACGGATTTATCGATTTTTATTTTTTGCATTTTGGAATTTTGTAAATTTTACTTTTAAAAATCCGATTTTGTAACTGTGTTTTGTTTTCAATAATCAGGCAAAATAAAAACAACAACGGCCGATCATTCCGATTTTTTCGAAAAATGATTTTTGACCAATTTCATGGCATAAACGATTAAATTCCATCCTCGACTTTTAACTATTTTTAACTATTTAATGAATTTTTTGTTTCTGGGATAGACTGCCAGCCAATTAGCCGTAAAATTGAGAAATTAGCATTTTTAACCATTTTCGTGTCGTAATCGTTTTGCCTCAATTCTCCGAACTCCATATTTTTAGCTCAAGTAATATTGGCTGCCAGAAAATCCAAAATAACACGAATTTCATGGCGTGATTTGTCAGAACTCCTAGAAAGACGTTCATTAGCCAACACGGGGGGTGTCAAATTACCCCAAGTAATGTGTGGAATGGTGCGTTCAGGGGTGTGTACCGTACTATTTGTCGATATTGTATTCCGACTGACACGAGAGGTGTCTCTAGTGGGCCCTCTGTCTCTCGCCTCTCTCCTCTCTCTCTCCTCTCTCCTCTCTCTCTCTCTCTCTCCCTCTCACTCACTCTCTCTCTCTCTCTCTGTCTCTCTTCTTTTGAGGAGCTGAAAGTTGATCTCCCTTGAGGGCAGCAGTAGCAGATCCTCCTCCCCTCCTCCTCCACCTCGTACTCCCCGACACCCCTCAGATTTCCCACCCTGCCGATTATCGATTGGTTCCGATTTACAAAATTCTATCGTCAAATTATCTTTTTGATTTTTATTCTGGCTGCAAAATTACAATTTCAAGTTTGTAGTTTGGCGATCTGGCATACAGTACGCATTTTGTAGTCTCAAATTCTCACGCCTGGAGTACCATTGCGCGTTTTTCGTCTATATTTCTCACTTTTGTGCTCCAGATACTTTTTTGGAGTTTGCAGTTACAGCTTAAACTTTTTGGTTTGGCATACTGACAAACACTACGCATTTTGTCGTCTGTAATCTACGTTTGGAATACAGTATCCAAGCTTGTTCTGATATTTTCAGTTTTAGTAGTCAGATTTTTTTGTACTTTGTAGCCCTTCAATCTGCCCTACAGTACACCCATTTAGTGCATGTATTTTCTATTATCCCTCCTAACGACAAGCTGGCTACCCGTCAACGCGTATCTCTCGGAATCATGGTCCCTCATGTCCAGGTTTGTGCTTTTAAAGGGACGGCGACAGCTACTAAAAAAACTTCCAAAAGAGCCCTGCTAGGTTGCCGGATTCCTTGGTAGCCAGTTTAAACTATACACTACAAATCATATCCCGACAAGTTTAGTGACCGTCCAAATGTCCCAAAATGTGTCGACATCCCTGCGAATTTGACGTTATGCCAGAATATGCAGGTTTGAAGAATTTCCTACCATAATCTATTGATTTTTTGTACTTTAGTACACGCAAATGCGATTGCCGAATCTGTTGGATCATGACACGTTGAGAGAGGTAGGAAAGAATGTTAAACTACAGACTTCAAATTCGATCTTCACCCAAAAATCACCAAAAAATGCTAAAAAATGGAAATTTTTTAGGTTATCGACGCTTCTCGTGATTGGGAACGGCTTCTCCAGCTAAACTGCCATCCAGATGCACAGGTTTCGTGAAAAAATCTGGGTTTCGAAGGGCAATGCTCGAAGTTTCAGCTTTTCCTGTGCTCCCTCTACGCCCCGATTTGCCTGGATAAGGAGATTTTGCCCTGCAAATCACTTTGTCAGGCCGTTAAAAATGTTCGTTATTGATTTTTTGGCGTTTTCCATCTGTCACTGTCCCTTTAAAAGCTGAATTTAGGGTTGCGAACCCCGGATGGCGGCCTATGGGTTCCCGTGGCCGGAAATGCTGTCGTGTGGCGGATACGAGGAGGGGGATATGTGCATAAAACCCGTAAATTCGCTAAAACGTGAGTTAATTTTAAGTTTTTCTGGCTATCTGACCGTTATTTGATCTTCCTGGCAGGAAATACACCCATTAAAGGCGCTGCGAAGCCTAAAATCGGTCCTAATCCCAAAAACGCAATCTTCGAAAACTCCATTTTTGTGCAGTTTTTGGTTATTTTCCCCAACCAGCCACTAATTCAGCCCTTTTCCATCTTTCTGACCGTCATTCCATCTATATGACAGACAATCCACCCATTAAAGGGCTTATGAAGCCAAGAAAATCCAATGTGAAGCCTTGCCAAAACTCAGTCTTCGAAAACTGCCATTTTGGTGCTGTTTGGCGCCAAACAGCCACTGATTCCGCTTTTTTCAACCTTGTTTCATCTATCTGACATACAAACCACCTTTTAAAGGAACTATTAAGCCTAAAATCCCAAAAACTCAGTCTTCGAAAAACCATTTTTGTGCCGTTTGGTGCCAGCCGGAGAGTTGCCTGATGGCCAGTGAAGACAGACAGCAGAACAGATCGACATATTGACAGACAGATAGAGGATAGATAGACAGACAGACAGACAGATCCTCCCTTTCATCTTGCCGCTTAGGGAAATCCGATCCTACCCTGTGGTGCTCAAGGCGCTGCTCCTTCTCCCTTTCCCTCGTCACCTGTCAAAACATCAATTTCGTTAAAAAAACAAGGTGCCGTTTTGAAACTGGCGGATGACAGTTTAGAGTTAGGAGATGGTAAAATTGGGACTGGCCTATTAGCGGGGGGTAAAAACTCTCTAGTATATGCCATCTATTTCCCAAATAAGCACAATTTTTAGAAAATTGAACAGTTTAGCATTTATGGCTATTTTCGCTTGCCCCCCGGTAAGAGATCAGTACCCAAAAATCAACGATTTTCAGCAACGGAATCGACATGTGCGGCCTGCCAGCAAGTTGCCACTTACGAAAATCTGGTCGACAACTTTTGCAGGAGTTCGCTTGGTAAGTTGGGTAGAGAGCGCCCGAGCACGAGTAGGAGCACGTGCTACTCGCCTATATGGTGCCCCAGTTTACCGTACACCGCCTGAAAAGCCGGCCAAAACTACTTGTTAACCCAGATAATAACTGGTTTTCAGTGGTGAAAGGCAAGCTGGGGAAGATCTCGTCGAATTCGATCAAAGTACGGAATGCGAGATCACTGAAGAAGGGAGATAGAAGGAGATCGGTTGGAGAAACGGTAAGTAGGGGAGAGAGAGTGAGAGAAATAGAGAAAGCGAGAGAGCGAGAGAGACAGAGTGAGAGAGAGAGCGCGAGAGCGTAGAGAAGCAGACAGATTGACGATTTTAGCCCTAACAAACGAGATCTGGTCTTTTAAAGGGCCGGGCAAGACATGACTATGGGATTTGCCAGCTCTAAACAAGGCATGACTGCGATTTAAGTGTCGTAATCGATTACGCAATGGAAATACTGGCTCGCGCGGTGCGTGCCGCGGAATTCCGAAAAAAAAACCAGGAAAGAACGGTTCGCCACCCTCAAAATGATCGATTACCCAAGGTAAATGCGTGCGTGCGTGTTGCGGGCACCGGGAAATCCAGCCATAGGAAATCAAAGTCTACAAAATCCATAACAATACCTTGCCAATTCCTTTAATAAATTAGCTGCTAGACAATTAGGTGATTCCCCCACTTAAAAAATGATACTTTCTAGGAAATCCAACTCTCCGCTCAAGGCAAGGATTGTCCATGTGAAGTGCTG